CCACTCACTCACTGTGTAGAACAGGGGGAGATCACACAAACTCCACTCACTCACTCTGTAGAACAGGGGGAGATCACACAAACTCCACTCACTCACTCTGTAGAACAGGGGGAGATCACACAAACTCCACTCACTCACTCTGTAGAACAGGGGGAGATCACACAAACTCCACTCTCTCACTCTGTAGAGCAGGGGGAGATCACACAAACTCCACTCTCTCACTCTGTAGAACAGGGGGAGATCACACAAACTCCAATCACTCACTCTGTAGAACAGGGGGAGATCACACAAACTCCAATCACTCACTCTGTAGAACAGGGGGAGATCACACAAACTCCACTCTCTCACTCTGTAGAACAGGGGGAGATCATACAAACTCCACTCACTCACTCTGTAGAACAGGGGGAGATCACACAAACTCCACTCACTCACTCTGTAGAACAGGGGGAGATCACACAAACTCCACTCACTCACTCTGTAGAACAGGGGGAGATCACACAAACTCCACTCACTCACTCTGTAGAACAGGGGGAGATCACACAAACTCCACTCTCTCACTCTGTAGAGCAGGGGGAGATCACACAAACTCCACTCTCTCACTCTGTAGAACAGGGGGAGATCACACAAACTCCAATCACTCACTCTGTAGAACAGGGGGAGATCACACAAACTCCAATCACTCACTCTGTAGAACAGGGGGAGATCACACAAACTCCACTCTCTCACTCTGTAGAACAGGGGGAGATCACACAAACTCCACTCACTCACTCTGTAGAACAGGGGGAGATCACACAAACTCCACTCTCTCACTCTGTAGAACAGGGGGAGATCACACAAACTCCACTCACTCACTCTGTAGAACAGGGGGAGATCACACAAACTCCACTCACTCACTCTGTAGAACAGGGGGAGATCACACAAACTCCACTCTCTCACTCTGTAGAACAGGGGGAGATCACACAAACTCCACTCACTCTGTAGAACAGGGGGAGATCACACAAACTCCACTCACTCTGTAGAACAGGGGGAGATCACACAAACTCCACTCTCTCACTCTGTAGAACAGGGGGAGATCACACAAACTCCACTCACTCACTCTGTAGTACAGGGGGAGATCACACAAACTCCACTCACTCACTCTGTATAACAGGGGGAGATCACACAAACTCCACTCTCTTACTCTGTAGAACAGGGGGAGATCACACAAACTCCACTCTCTCACTCTGTAGAACAGGGGGAGATCACACAAACTCCACTCACTCTGTAGAACAGGGGGAGATCACACAAACTCCACTCTCTCACTCTGTAGAACAGGGGGAGATCACACAAACTCCACTCACTCACTCTGTAGTACAGGGGGAGATCACACAAACTCCACTCTCTCACTCTGTAGAACAGGGGGAGATCACACAAACTCCACTCTCTCACTCTGTAGAGCAGGGGGAGATCACACAAACTCCACTCTCTCACTCTGTAGAGCAGGGGGAGATCACACAAACTCCACTCTCTCACTCTGTAGAACAGGGGGAGATCACACAATCTCCACTCACTCACTCTGTAGAACAGGGGGAGATCACACAAACTCCACTCACTCACTCTGTAGAGCAGGGGGAGATCACACAAACTCCACTCACACTCACTCTGTAGAACAGGGGGAGATCACACAAACTCCACTCACTCACTCTGTAGAACAGGGCGAGATCACACAAACTCCACTCACTCACTCTGTAGAACAGGGGGAGATCACACAAACTCCACTCACTCACTCTGTAGAACAGGGGGAGATCACACAAACTCCACTCACTCACTCTGTAGAACAGGGGGAGATCACACAAACTCCACTCTCTCACTCTGTAGAACAGGGGGAGATCACACAAACTCCACTCACTCACTCTGTAGAACAGGGGGAGATCACACAAACTCCACTCACTCACTCTGTAGAGCAGGGGGAGATCACACAAACTCCACTCACTCACTCTGTAGAACAGGGGGAGATCACACAAACTCCACTCACTCACTCTGTAGAACAGGGGGAGATCACACAAACTCCACTCACTCACTCTGTAGAACAGGGGGAGATCACACAAACTCCACTCACTCACTCTGTAGAACAGGGGGAGATCACACAAACTCCACTCTCTCACTCTGTCGTGCAGGGGGAGATCACACAAACTCCACTCTCTCACTCTGTAGAACAGGGGGAGATCACACAAACTCCAATCACTCACTCTGTAGAACAGGGGGAGATCACACAAACTCCAATCACTCACTCTGTAGAACAGGGGGAGATCACACAAACTCCACTCTCTCACTCTGTAGAACAGGGGGAGATCACACAAACTCCACTCACTCACTCTGTAGAACAGGGGGAGATCACACAAACTCCACTCACTCACTCTGTAGAACAGGGGGAGATCACACAAACTCCACTCACTCACTCTGTAGAACAGGGGGAGATCACACAAACTCCACTCTCTCACTCTGTAGAACAGGGGGAGATCACACAAACTCCACTCTCTCACTCTGTAGAACAGGGCGAGATCACACAAACTCCACTCTCTCACTCTGTAGAACAGGGGGAGATCACACAAACTCCACTCTCTCACTCTGTAGAACAGGGGGAGATCACACAAACTCCACTCTCTCACTCTGTAGAACAGGGGGAGATTACACAAACTCCACTCTCTCACTCTGTAGAACAGGGGGAGATCATACAAACTCCAATCACTCACTCTGTAGAACAGGGGGAGATTACACAAACTCCACTCTCTCACTCTGTAGAACAGGGGGAGATCATACAAACTCCAATCACTCACTCTGTAGAACAGGGGGAGATCACACAAACTCCACTCTCTCACTCTGTAGAACAGGGGGAGATCACACAAACTCCACTCTCTCACTCTGTAGAACAGGGGGAGATCACACAAACTCCACTCTCTCACTCTGTAGAACAGGGGGAGATCACACAAACTCCACTCACTCACTCTGGAGAACAGGGGGAGATCACACAAACTCCACCCACTCACTCTGTAGAACAGGGGGAGATCACACAAACTCCACTCACTCACTCTGTAGAACAGGGCGAGATCACACAAACTCCACTCACTCACTCTGTAGAACAGGGGGAGATCACACAAACTCCACTCACACTCACTCTGTAGAACAGGGGGAGATCACACAAACTCCACTCACTCACTCTGTAGAACAGGGGGAGATCACACAAACTCCACTCTCTCACTCTGTAGAACAGGGGGAGATCACACAAACTCCACTCTCTCACTCTGTAGAACAGGGGGAGATCACACAAACTCCACTCTCTCACTCTGTAGAACAGGGGGAGATCACACAAACTCCACTCTCTCACTCTGTAGAACAGGGGGAGATCACACAAACTCCACTCTCTCACTCTGTAGAACAGGGGGAGATCACACAAACTCCACTCTCTCACTCTGTAGAACAGGGGGAGATCACACAAACTCCACTCTCTCACTCTGTAGAACAGGGGGAGATCACACAAACTCCACTCTCTCACTCTGTAGAACAGGGGGAGATCACACAAACTCCACTCTCTCACTCTGTAGAACAGGGGGAGATCACACAAACTCCACTCTCTCACTCTGTAGAACAGGGGGAGATCACACAAACTCCACTCTCTCACTCTGTAGAACAGGGGGAGATCACACAAACTCCACTCTCTCACTCTGTAGAACAGGGGGAGATCACACAAACTCCACTCATTCACTCTGTAGAACAGGGGGAGATCACACAAACTCCACTCACTCACTCTGTAGAACAGGGGGAGATCACACAAACTCCACTCACTCACTCTGTAGAACAGGGGGAGATCACACAAACTCCACTCACACTCACTGTAGAACAGGGGGAGATCACACAAACTCCACTCTCTCACTCTGTAGAACAGGGCGAGATCACACAAACTCCACTCTCTCACTCTGTAGAACAGGGGGAGATCACACAAACTACACTCACTCACTCTGTAGAACAGGGGGAGATCACACAAACTCCACTCACTCACTCTGTAGAGCAGGGGGAGATCACACAAACTACACTCACTCACTCTGTAGAACAGGGGGAGATCACACAAACTCCACTCTCTCACTCTGTAGAACAGGGGGAGATCACACAAACTCCACTCTCTCACTCTGTAGAACAGGGGGAGATCACACAAACTCCACTCTCTCACTCTGTAGAACAGGGGGAGATCACACAAACTCCACTCTCTCACTCTGTAGAACAGGGGGAGATCACACAAACTCCACTCTCTCACTCTGTAGAACAGGGGGAGATCACACAAACTCCACTCACTCACTCTGTAGAACAGGGGGAGATCACACAAACTCCACTCACTCACTCTGTAGAACAGGGGGAGATCACACAAACTCCACTCTCTCACTCTGTAGAACAGGGGGAGATCACACAAACTCCACTCTCTCACTCTGTAGAACAGGGGGAGATCACACAAACTCCACTCTCTCACTCTGTAGAACAGGGGGAGATCACACAAACTCCACTCACTCACTCTGTAGAGCAGGGGGAGATCACACAAACTCCACTCACTCACTCTGTAGAGCAGGGGGAGATCACACAAACTACACTCACTCACTCTGTAGAACAGGGGGAGATCACACAAACTCCACTCTCTCACTCTGTAGAACAGGGGGAGATCACACAAACTCCACTCTCTCACTCTGTAGAACAGGGGGAGATCACACAAACTCCACTCTCTCACTCTGTAGAACAGGGGGAGATCACACAAACTCCACTCTCTCACTCTGTAGAACAGGGGGAGATCACACAAACTCCACTCACTCACTCTGTAGAACAGGGGGAGATCACACAAACTCCACTCACTCACTCTGTAGAACAGGGGGAGATCACACAAACTCCACTCTCTCACTCTGTAGAACAGGGGGAGATCACACAAACTCCACTCTCTCACTCTGTAGAACAGGGGGAGATCACACAAACTATAACCGCACCTCCGATGGCTTCGCTCGTGGTGCGAACGAAGCGCAGGGCAGCTGTGACGTCGCTCGCGACTTCTGCCTCCGCTGGGCCAAGTCCAGGGGAGTCAACCTTGACAGGGAAAGACAAAGATCCCCCGTATGGGCTTCACAGACTGCAGGGGCAAGTGCTGTTAGCGAGCAGCACCTATGAAGGCCGGAACGGCGACACGAGGGGGTGGGTGGCCAGCACCACGCCCGGCCGCCTTTGTCTCCCCAGTGGCGATGTTTACTGTGCACCGCACCAGGTACTCATTTGAGGCCGAATCGACCTAGGGGAGGCCCAGGACCGGTTCAGATAATCGTCACCGCCGGTGTTGGCCGTGAGCGGGAATCGAACTCGGGTCGCCGGGTTCGTAGCGCAGCGTGGCGCTAACCACTACACCCACCGCTCCCCACACAGACACACACACACGGACACGCACAGACACACACGTACAGACACGCGCACACACGCACAGACACACACGCACAGACACACACACGCACAGACACACACGCACAGACACACACGCACGCATACACACGCACGCACAGACACGCACGCACGCCACACGCACACACACGCACGCACACACGCAGACACACGCACACACACACGCACAGACACACACGCACAGACACACACACACAGACACACACACAGACACACACGTTTCCGTACCTGGTGGGGTATTTGTTGTTGTGACCACGTGGTCACCCTGGGTGGTCTGTGTGAGTCTATGGGTCTCTGTGTGAGTCTGTGGGTCTCTATGTGATGAGTCTATGGGTCTCTGTGTGAGTCTGTGGGTCTCTGTGTGAGTCCATGGGTCTCTGTGTGAGTCCATGGGTCTCTGTGTGAGTCCATGGGTCTCTGTGTGGTGAGTCTATGGGTCTCTGTGTGGTGAGTCTGTGGGTCTCTGTGTGGTGAGTCTATGTGTCTCTGTGTGATGAGTCTGTGGGTGTCTGTGTGGTGAGTCTGTGAGTCTCTGTGTGGTGAGTCTGTGGGTCTCTGTGTGATGAGTCTGTGGGTGTCTGTGTGGTGAGTCTATGGTTCTCTTTGTGGTGAATCTATGGGTCTCTGTGTGGTGAGTCTGTGAGTCTCTGTGTGATGAGTCTGTGGGTCTGTGTGGTGAGTCTATGGGTCTCTGTGGTGAGTCTATGTGTCTCTGTGTGGTGAGCCTGTGGGTCTCTGTGTGGTGAGTCTGTGGGTCTCTGCGTGGTGAGTCTGTGGGTCTCTGTGCGGTGAGTCTATGGGTCTCTGTGTGGTGAGTCTGTGGGTCTCTGTGTGGTGAGTCTGTGGGTCTCTGTGTGGTGAGTGTGTGGGTCTCTGTGTGGTGAGTCTGTGGGAGTCTGTGGGTCTCTGTGTGGTGAGTCTGTGCGTCTCTGTGTGGTGAATATGTAGGTCTCTATGTGGTGAGTCTGTGGGTCTCTGTGCGGTGAGTCTGTGGGTCTCTGTGTGGTGGGTCTGTGGGTCTCTGTGTGGCGAGTCTGTGGGTCTCTGTGAGTCTGTGGGTCTCTGTGAGTCTGTGGGTCTCTGTGTGAGTCTGTGGGTCTCTGCGTGGTGAGTCTGTGGGTCTCTGTGTGGTGAGTCTACGGGTCTCTGTGTGGTGAGTCTGTGGGTCTCTGTGTGGTGAGTCTATGGGTCTCTGTGTGGTGAGTCTGTGGGTCTCTGTGTGGTGAGTCTGTGGGTCTCTGTGTGGTGAGTCTATGGGTCTCTGTGTGATGAGTCTATGGGTCTCTGTGTGGTGAGTCTATGGGTCTCTGTGTGGTGAGTCTATGGGTCTCTGTGTGGTGAGTCTATGGGTCTCTGTGTGATGAGTCTATGGGTCTCTGTGTGAGTCTATGGGTCTCTGTGTGGTGAGTCTATGGGTCTCTGTGTGGTGAGTCTATGGGTCTCTGTGTGGTGAGTCTACGGGTCTCTGTGTGATGAGTCTATGGGTCTCTGTGTGGTGAGTCTATGGGTCTCTGTGTCGTGAGTCTGTGGGTCTCTGTGCGGTGAGTCTGTGGGTCTCTGTGTGGTGAGTGTGTGGGTCTCTGTGTGGTGAGTCTATGGGTCTCTGTGTGATGAGTCTGTGGGTCTCCGTGTAACCCTCATCCATTTCCATCATCACACCACACTCCCCGACTTCCCTTTGACGTAAAGAAGCAATAACAACGACAACAACGACCATACTTCACCACTTTGGTCAATGGCGAGTTGGGGAAAGAGGAGAAAATCCCCCAAGGACTTCCCCACCCGCCACTGATGAGTGCCGCGACTGCTTTCTCCGCTGTTTACCTCCGACAGGTAAAACAAAAACAAAATCGAACCATCTCCTCACCACCGCTGTTGATGATTTAAAGCGTTTAAGCCCTCTCTTTAACTTCCCATTAACAATCGACCTTGAGCCGCCCACCCCCATGCGGCCTAGTCAGGCTGCGCGGGGTTGAGCGAGACCCTGCCCGGGTAAGGATCTAGGCGAGGCCGGTTCACGACTCGGCGAAGGGTTTAAAAAACAATAACAGTCCACTCACCTGGCGTAAATGTCGCCTTCGAATGAAAGCTGGCGATGTAATTAGGCGTTAGGACAGCCACGGCAGCGCTGTCGAAGCCACGTGCGGCGATGTTTGTGAAGCCCGCATAGGCCTCGATGCTCGCCGCGTCGCCTGGACCAGGCCCTGGGCCTTCTACAGCACCACAACAGCAACAACCACCACCACCACCACACTGCTGGTGGTGGTTGGTGTTGTTGTGGTGGGTTTAAGGGCTGTGTTAAAGTCTGTGTTAGTGTTGAAGTCTGTGTTGAGGTCTGTGTTAAAGTCTGTGTTAGTGTTGAAGTCTGTGTTAAAGTTAAAGTCAGTGTTAAAGTCTGTGTTAGTGTTGAAGTCTGTGTTAAAGTTAAAGTTAGTGTTAAAGTTAAAGTCTGTGTTAGTGTTGAAGTCTGTGTTAAGGTCTGTGTTAAAGTCTGTGTTAGTGTTGAAGTCTGTGTTAAAGTCAGTGTTAAAGTTAAAGTCTGTGTTAAAGTTAAAGTCAGTGTTAATGTCTGTGTTGAGGTCTGTGTTAAGGGCTGTGTTAAAGTTAGTGTTAATGTTTGTGTTGAGGTCTGTGTTAATGTCTGTGTTCATGTCTGTGTAAAGTCTGTGTTGAGGTCTGTGTTAAGGGCTATGTTAATGTCTGTGTTAAAGTCTGTGTTGAGGTCTGTGTTAAGGGATGTGTTGAGGTATGTGTTAAAGTCAGTGTTAAAGTTAAAGTCCGTGTTAAAGTCAGTGTTAATATCTGTGTTGAGGTCTGTGTTGAGGTCTGTGTTAATGTCTGTGTTGAGGTCTGTGTTAAGGGCTGTGTTAATGTCTGTGTTAAAGTCTGTGTTAAGGGCTGTGTTAAAGTCTGTGTTAAGGGCTGTGTTAAAGTCTGTGTTGAGGGCTGTGTTGAGGGCTGTGTTGAGGTCTGTGTTGAAGTCTGTGTTGAAGTCTGTGTTGAAGTCTGTGTTGAAGTCTGTGTTGAGGTCTGTGTTGAGGTCTGTGTTGAGGTCTGTGTTGAGGTCTGTGTTGAGGTCTGTGTTGAAGTCTGTGTTGAAGTCTGTGTTGAAGTCTGTGTTGAAGTCTGTGTTGAAGTCTGTGTTGAAGTCTGTGTTGAGGTCTGTGTTGAGGTCTATGTTGAGGTCTGTGTTAATGTCTGTGTTAAAGTCTGTGTTGAGGTCTGTGTTAAAGTCTGTGTTAAGGGCTGTGTTAAGCCACATGATATCACCAGGTGGTTTGAAATATCTACAGCAGAAGACGCTCCACCAGTTGTGTAACTCGACGATTTATATTTCGTTACGTTCACCAGGTGATAAGGAGCCCTGAGGTGTAAGCGATCCTGCAGCTCACAAGCAACAGTTGGCTCAACGAGAGGGCCGATATCATCGTCATCACAGGAGGAGAACACAGCGGTGGCTAGGAGATGTTGACTACCTCTCCTGGTACACAGGAGGTCGTGGGTTCAATCACACCCCTGACGATGCCTGCTGCTGTTTGTGTGTGGCTAGGAGATGTTGACTACCTCGCCTGGTACACAGGAGGTCGTGGGTTCAATCACACCCCTGACAATGCCTGCTGTGTATTTGTGTGTGGCTAGGAGATGTTGACTACCTCTCCTGGTGCACAGGAGGTCGTGGGTTCAATCACACCCCTGACGATGCCTGCTGCTGTATATTTGTGTTGCTAGGAGATGTTGACTACCTCTCCTGGTACACAGGAGGTCGTGGGTTCAATCACACCCCTGATGATGCCTGCTGCTGTTTGTGTGTGGCTATGAGATGTTGACTACCTCGCCTGGTACACAGGAGGTCGTGGGTTCGATCCCGACCCTGATGATGCCTGCTGTATATTTGTGTGGCTAGGAGATGTTGACTACCTCGCCTGGTACACAGGAGGTCGTGGGTTCAATCACACCCTTGATGATGCCTGCTGCTGTTTGTGTGTGGCTAGGAGATGTTGACTACCTCGCCTGGTACACAGGAGGTCGTGGGTTCAATCACACCCTTGACGATGCCTGCTGCTGTTTGTGTGTGGCTAGGAGATGTTGACTACCTCGCCTGGTACACAGGAGGTCGTGGGTTCAATCACACCCCTGACGATGCCTGCTGCTGTATATTTGTGTGGCTAGGAGATGTTGACTACCTCTCCTGATACGCAGGAGGTCATGGGTTCAATCACACCCCTGACGATGCCTGCTGTGTATATTTGTGTGTGGCTAGGAGATGTTGACTACCTCGCCTAGTACACAGGAGGTCGTGGGTTCCATCCCGACCCTGATGATGCCTGCTGCTGTTTGTGTGTGGCTAGATGTTGACTACCTCTCCTGGTACACAGGAGGTCGTGGGTTCAATCACACCCCTGACGATGCCTGCTGCTGTTTGTGTGTGGCTAGGAGATGTTGACTACCTCGCCCGGTACACAGGAGGTCGTGGGTTCAATCACACCCCTGATGATGCCTGCTGTATATGTGTGTGGCTAGGAGATGTTGACTACCTCGCCTGGTGCGCAGGAGGTCGTGGGTTCGATCCCGACCCTGACGATGCCTGCTGTGTTTGTGTGTGGCTAGGAGATGTTGACTACCTCGCCTGGTACACAGGAGGTCGTGGGTTCGATCACACCCCTGACGATGCCTGCTGCTGCTGTATATTTGTGTGTGGCTAGGAGATGTTGACTACCTCTCAGGTACACAGGAGGTCGTCGGTTCAATCACACCCCTGACGATGCCTGCTGCTGTTTGTGTGTGGCTAGGAGATGTTGACTACCTCTCCTGGTACACAGGAGGTCGTGGGATTGATCCCACCCCTGACGATGCCTGCTGCTGTGTATTTGTGTGTGGCTAGGAGATGTTGACTACCTCTCCTGGTACGCAGGAGGTCGTGGGTTCCATCCCGACCCTGATGACGCCTGCTGCTGCCGTTTGTGTGTGGCTAGGAGATGTTGACTACCTCGCCTGGTCTACAGGAGGACGTGGGTTTGATCCCGACCCTGACGACGCCTGCTGCTGCTGTATATTTGTGACGAAATGTTGACTACCTCGCCTGGAACGCAGGAGGTCGTGGGTGAACCCGGCCATTGTGAATCCATGGAACCGGCCATTACAATGAGGGAAAAAAGTGTTTGATCCCCTGCTGATTTTGTACGTTTGCCCACTGACAAATACATGATCAGTCGATAATTTTAATGGTGGGTTTATTTGAACAGTGAGAGACAGAATAACAACAAAAAAATCCAGAAAACCGCATGTCAAAAATGTTATAAATTGATTTGCATTTTAATGAGGGAAATAAGTATTTGACCCCCTCTCAATCAGAAAGATTTCTGACTCCCAGGTGTCTTTTATACAGGTAACGAGCTGAGATTAGGAGCACACTCGTAAAGGGAGTGCTCCTAATCTCAGCTCGTTACCTGTATAAAAGACACCTGTCCACAGAAGCAATCAATCAATCAGATTCCAAACTCTCCACCATGGCCAAGACCAAAGAGCTCTCCAAGGATGTCAGGGACAAGATTGTAGATGTACACAAGGCTGGAATGTGCTACAAGACCATTGCCAAGCAGCTTGGTGAGAAGGTGACAACAGTTGGTGCGATTATTCGCAAATGAAACAATCACAAACGAGCTGTCAATCTCCCTCGGCCTGGGGCTCCATGCAAGATCTCACCTCGTGGAGTTGCAATGATCATGAGAACGGTGAGGAATCAGCCCAGAACTACACGGGAGGATCTTGTCAATGATCTCAAGGCAGCTGGGACCATAGTCACCAAGAAAACAATTGGTAACACACTACGCCGTGAAGGACTGAAATCCTGCAGCGCCCGCAAGGGCCCCCTGCTCAAGAAAGCACATATACATGCCCATCTAACTTTACCGAAAGAACCAAGAGCATCAATTTATAACATTTTTGACATGCGTTTTTCTGGATTGTGCTGTTGCTATTCTGTCTCTCACTGTTCAAATAAACCTACCATTAAAATTATAGACTCATCATTTCCTTGTCAGTGGGCAAACGTACAAAACCAGCAGGGGGATCGAATGCTTTTTTTTCCCCTCGCTGTATAAACCAGGCCATTGTAAACCCGGCCATCATGGGCCGGAGGTTGGGGCGTCTGTGCCCTGCTCATGCCGGAGGAGCCAGGCCTTGAGCTGTGACGAGAGGCGTCCCTGGAAGGAGCCGGAGCCCCCCTGAGCCGGCACCACGCGGTGGCACGGCACCAACAGCGGCACCTGCAGAGACAAAGGTCCCCCGTGTAGCCTTGACAGGCAGTCGGGGCAAGTGTCGTTGGCGGAGTTGCAGCGGCGCCTACGGAGGCCGGAACGGCACGCGAGGCGGCGGGTGGCCGGCGCCGCGCCCGGCCGCCTTTGTCTCCCCGGCGGCGATGTTTACACAACGTAACTCAGTTGAGGCTGAGTCGACCTTGGGGAGACCCGGGACCGGTTTCGATAGTCGTCGCCGGTGTTGGCCGTGAGCGGGAATCGAACTCGGGCCGTCGGGTTCGTAGCGCAGCGTAGCGCTAACCACTACACCCACCGCTCCTACACACACAAAGGTCCCCCGTGTAGCCTCTCAGTCTCCGGGGGGCAAGTGCTGCTAAACAACAGTAGCATCACCACCATCATTATCACCACCACCATCATTATTATCACCACCATCATTATCACCACCATCATTATCATCACCATCATTATCATCACCACCATCATTACCACCATCATCATCATTATCACCATCATTATCATCACCACTATCATTACCATCATCATCACCATCATCATCACCATCATCAACACCACCATCGTCACCACCATCATCGCCACCACCATCACCACCATCATCACCACCACCACCATCATCGCCACCACCATCATCACCACCACCATCACACCATCATTACCACCATCATCACCACCATCATCGCCACCATCATTACCGCCACCATCATCGACACCACCACCATCATCACCACCACCACCACCATCATCGCCACCACCATCATCACCACCACCATCACACCATTACCACCATCATCACCACCATCATCGCCACCATCATTACCACCACCATTATCGACACCACCACCATCATCCCCACCACCACCATCATCACCACCACCATCATCACCACCATCACCACCATTATCACCACCACAGTCACGTGGGGTCAGGGGAGGCAGGGGGAGGCAGAGCCTCACCTGTCATACTCCAATGAAAATAGCTGTTACCGAACATTTTAATGAAATAAAAATTGAAGATTTGCCCAGTGATCTGTGTTATGTCATTTCTGTACGATTCCAAACATTTTTATCGTCAAAATCGCCAAAATCTGCGGAGCTCCGCTGAGAACCCAGGGGGAGACGGACAATAAGCGCGTGCCTGTTAAGTCCTCTCCGCGTGTCACCAATGTAATGTTTGCAGACCCCTTCATTACGTGTCCTCGCCTTCCACAGACAACGCGTGCGTGTACCAAGATGTTTAGACTCGCCGTGCTCGTCATGAAACTGCAATGAAAAAGCACCAGGGGAGGCAGCTATGACATCTGCCTCACTGAGGGGGGGTGTGTGAGACACGCCCCCCCTAAGTGAGGACACGCCCCCCTCAGTGAGGACACGCCCCCCTCCGTGTGTATAGCAAGCGCTTCCCCAGCCATTGACCTCACCGCACGTCACTGCACCACCACCACGACCACCGTCACCACCACCGTCGCCGCCATCATCACCGTCACCACCACCACCGCCCCCATCATCATCATCACCGTCACCACCACCGTCGCCATCATCATCACCGTCACCACCACCGCCCCCATCATCATCATCACCGTCACCACCACTACCACCGCCGCCATCATCATCACCACCGTCACCACCACCACCGTCGCCATCATCATCACCGTCACCACCACCGTCGCCGCCATCATCATCACCGTCACCACCACCGTCGCCATCATCATCACCGTCACCACCACCGCCCCCATCATCATCATCACCGTCACCACCACCGTCGCCATCATCATCACCGTCACAACCACCACCGCCGTCGCCATCACCACCACCACCGCCATCATCATCATCACCACCGTCACCACCACCACCACCGTCGCCATCACCACCACCACCACCGCCATCACCACCACCACCACCACCATCATCACCACCACCACCGCCATCATCACCACCACCACCGCCATCATCACCACCGCCACCGCCGTCGCCATCATCACCACCATCACCACCACCACCACCGTCACCACCACCACCGTCGCCATCACCACCACCGCCATCATCACCACCACCACCGCCATCATCACCACCACCACCGCCATCATCACCACCACCACCGCCATCATCACCACCACCACCGCCATCATCACCACCACCACCACCGCCGTCGCCATCATCACCACCATCACCACCACCACCACCGTCACCACCACCACCGTCGCCATCACCACCACCGCCATCATCACCACCACCACCGCCATCATCACCACCACCACCGCCATCATCACCACCACCACCGCCATCATCACCACCACCACCGCCATCATCACCACCACCACCACCGCCGTCGCCATCATCACCGGGTTGTGCCGCATGGCATTGCCGACGGCTCGAGCGGCCGTCCTGGAGGCCCCAGCGAGCTCGGCGAGGCCTCCGTACGTCACCGTGCGGCCCACGCACACCTCCCGCGTCAGAGTGCGGTACAACAGATTCGTGAATCCATCTGTGGGGCGACGACAACAAAGACAAAGATCTCCCGTGTAGCCTCTAACACACTGTAGGGGCAAGTGCTGTTAGTAGCGAGTAGCAGCAGCACCTGTGAAGGTAGACACAGACAAAGATCCCCCGTGTAGCCTCTAACAGACTGCAGGGGCAAGTGCTGTTAGTAGCGAGTAGCAGCACCACCTATGCAGGTAGACACAGACAAAGATCCCCCGTGTAGCCTCTAACAGACTGCAGGGGCAAGTGCTGTGAGTAGCGAGTAGCAGCAGCACCTGTGAAGGTAGACACAGACAAAGATCCCCCGTGTAGCCTCTAACAGACTGCAGGGGCAAGTGCTGTTAGTAGCGAGTAGCAGCAGCAGCTATGAAGGTAGACACAGACAAAGGTCCCCCGTGTAGCCTCTAACAGACTGTAGGGGCAAGTGCTGTTAGCGAGCAGCACCTGTGAAGGCTACCGGCACTGTGGCACACGAGGGGGTGGGTGGCCAGCAACACGCCCGGCCGCCTTTGTCTCCCCAGTGGCGATGTTTACTACGCACCGCACCGGGTACTCGTTTGAGGATGAGTCGACCTAGGGGAGGCCCAGGGCCGGTTCAGATAATTGGCACTGGTGTTGGCCGCGAGCGGGAATCGAACTCGGTATACCAGATTCACGAATCCATCTGTAGAGTGACGACAAATTACCACAGTGGCTAGGAGATGTTGACTACCTCGCCTGGTCTACTGGAGGTCGTGTGTTCCATCCTGACAATGCCTGATGTATATGTGTGGCTAGGAGATGTTGACTACCTCGCCTGGTCTACAGGAGGTCGTGGGTTCCATCCTGACAATGCCTGATGTATATTTGTGTGTGTGGCTAGGAGATGTTGACTACCTCGCCCGGTCTACATGAGGTCGTGGGTTCCATCCTGACAATGCCTGATGTATATGTGTGTGTGTGGCTAGGAGATGTTGACTACCTCGCCTGGTATACAGGAGGTCGTGGGTTCCATCCTGACAATGCCTGATGTATATGTGTGTGTGTGGCTAGGAGATGTTGACTACCTCGCCTGGTATACAGGAGGTCATGGGTTCCATCCTGACAATGCCTGATGTATATGTGTGGCTAGGAGATGTTGACTACCTTGCCTGGTCTATAGGAGGTCGTGGGTTCGATCCCAACCCTGACGCCTGCTGCTGCTGCTGTATAGTTATGCGTGTGGCTAGGAGATGTTGACTACCTCGCCTGGTCTACAGGAGGTTGTGAGGTCCATCCCGACCCTGACGACGCCTGCTTCTGCTGTATATTTGTGTGTGTGGCTATGAGATGTTGACTACCTCGCCTGGTCTACAGGAGGTTGTGAGGTCCATCCCGACCCTGACGACGCCTGCTTCTGCTGTATATTTGTGTGTGTGGCTAGGAGATGTTGACTACCTCGCCTGGTCTACAGGTGGTCGTGGGTTCGATCCCGACCCTGACGACGCCTGCTGCTGCTGCTGCTGTATAGTTGGCGTCTGCGCGTGTCTCTCTCTCTCTCTGCGTGGATTCCTCTCCGGCTCCTCCGGCTTTTCCCCTCCACGTTGAGGATCAACGTCCACGCGTCCAGATTACCCGGAGGCATCTGGCTCCTGCTATAAACCGTCCACGTGGTCATCGGCCACTTCGTTGAGCTCTCACGTGTGGCCAGGTCGCTTCTGACAAATAAATTAGCACCTCAGTGGGCAGCTTCGTTTTGTGAAGGTGAAAACACAGTTGAGTGTTTTTTTTTTTTAATTTGTCGATACAGCTTTTAAAATTTAGTTGTTTTCCTTTGCTGCAATTTGCGCTCCCATCGCGTTTGCTGCTGCTGCTGCTGCTGCTGTTGTTGTTGTTACGTTCTGACCCCACACACCCACGTAATAAAGAGCTTCACGGCCCTTCGGATTTCCTCCGCACGCGCGCGGTTTAAAAAAAAAAAACAACAACAAAACCTGGAGCGAGCCCCGGGAGGTGGAGTGCCGGGGCCTCCTCGTGCCCGGCCTCCGCAGGCCTCTGGAAGTAGCCGCAGAGCCACGAGGTGCAACCGGCAAGCTGCCAGGACACCGCCTCCCACTCGGCTCCTCCCAGGGCCATGGTGGTAGCGGCGGCGGCGGCGGCGGCGGCGGCGGTGGCGGTGGTGGTGGTGGGAGTCGCCTCCGACACCGACACCTTCAGAGCTCCGGGCCGGGTTTTGTAGTCCGCCGGGAATGAGCCGGAGCCACTGAGGGGGGAGGAAGGAGGTGGAAGAGGGGGAGGAGGTGGGGGGGAGGGAGGAGGAGGGGGAGGAGGAGGATACAACAATAAGTTTGACCCTTTCCGGCAATACGACAGCCGTGTTAAGACGCTAAAACACCAAACTGAAACCTTTTGTAAGGAATCCTGTTACTACATGAACCACACACACACACGCGATGCTTGTGGTGAACATGCAAACACAAACACCATGCTCTGGTAGTTGATGATGATGATGATGCATTGTCTTTGAAACTGATTGTCAGAGAGGGGTAAAAGCAATTTGTTGTATTGTTGATGCTGGCAAGGAGGTGCCACGATGTAGCTGCTCACCACGAGCTCTCAATGTCCTGACAGTGGCATTGTCCTGGTGCTGTCTTCGCCTTTTGGCGTCGTCCTCCGGCCTAACGCCGTTTGAGACTCGGCTCTAAAGAAAGCTGTCTCTGGGTGTGGACCAATCACTTTCAAAAACAATGCCTCATCATACACCACCATCATACACCACCATCATACACCACCATGATATACCACCATCAAATGCTACTGTAGTGACGTAAACGGTGTGACTAGGGTGTTGGCGCCAGCCACTGTTACAGGAGTGCAACTTGGCGTCTGGAGACTCTCTCCAGCAGCAGAGCAACTTGCGGCCTGCCAGCAGCCAGGCCTGGCGACGGCCTCACAGAGGTCACGTGAGCACGTGACCTCCCGGGTGGACCCGGGGGGGGGGTCACGTGACCGGGACAGGGTGGTGAGAGGGGGCCCCGAGGGACACGTGACGCTCGATCAGGATCCATCGGGAAAGGTCTCCAAGGGGGCGTGGCCGAGGGGGGCGTGGCCGAATGGGGGCGTGTCCGAAGGCGGAGATGGGTGGTGGTGAGTAGAAAGCGGCGGTGCCGGGGGCGTTCTCGGCCCTCGGCGGTGGCGCGAACCCTCGTGGCGACGTCTCCTCGGCTCGTAGCCCTGCGGCATCGTGGGTCAGGCAGACGTCGCTGCCCTGACCTCGGTTGTCGGCCAGCTGTGTCGTGCGTTGCGCAAGCGATCCTCCTGGGGGTCGAGTTAGCCGCGTCGTAAGCCGAGGGGGTTACCCCGTCGGGGTATCTGACAAACATCGTGCCTCCGTGAACACCACCACTGCACGTTCCACCATCGGCTGCGAGAGAGCACGGTGTTTTTGTGTCGGCATGTCCACCGCAAGCGCCACCGTTGTGTTGCGGCTAACGCAGTCGCAGGGATCCCGTCTGGTTTGCGGGGAATTGGAGTAAAAGCTTCGTCTACGTACAGGGCATGCGGCAGCAACAACAACAACCGTCTAGCCCCACAATGCTGACACTCCACAACAACAAAAACGACTGTGTTGTTGTTGTTGTTGCTATGCACTGACACTCCACAACAACAAAAACGACTGTGTTGTTGTTGTTGTTGCTATGCACTGACACTCCACAACAACAAAAACGACTGTTGTTGTTGTTGTTGCTATGCGCTGACACTCCACAACAACAAAAACGCCGGGTGTTGTTGTTGCAATGCGCTGACACTCCACAACAACAAAACCGACTGTGTTGTTGTTGTTGTTGCTATGCACTGACACTCCACAACAACAAAACCGACTGTGTTGTTGTTGTTGTTGCTATGCACTGACACTCCACAACAACAAAAACGACTGTGTTGTTGTTGTTGCAATGCGCTGACACTCCACAACAACAAAAACGACTGTGTTGTTGTTGTTGCCATGCGCTGACACTCCACAACAACAAAACCGACTGTTGTTGTTGCTATGCACTGACACTCCACAACAACAAAAACGACTGTGTTGTTGTTGTTGCTATGCGCTGACACTCCACAACAACAAAAACGCCGGGTGTTGTTGTTGTTGCTATGCGCTGACACTGCACAACAACAAAACCGACTGTGTTGTTGTTGCTATGCGCTGACACTCCACAACAATCTTGATTTGAAGCGTCTGTGACTGCGACAATCCATAGCCTCTGGTTCTTTCGGTAAAGTCATCACGCAGTGGGTAGAAATAAAATGAAATTAAATTAAACCACGTCGTTTCGATGACGACACAAGCAATCTCAACCACGTGGGGGGAGAAAAAACCACAGCAACATTAAATTGCTGAAGTGGGCGAGAGAGCTGCCGTGGCAAGAGCTTATATAGGTGAGAGAAAGGGGGAGGAGCAAGGGGGGAGAGAGAGAGGTGGGGGGGAGCAGGGGAAGGGGGGGGGCTGCGTGAGCGCTAGGGGGAGATGAGGCTGGGGGGAAGTAGGCGGGGCTAGGGGGGGAAGTAGGCGGGACTAGGGGGAAGTAGGCAGGGCTTAGGGGGAAGTAGGGAGGGCTAGGGGGGAAGTAGGCGGGGCTAGGGGGGAAGTAGGCGGGACTGGGGTGGAAGTAGGCGGGACTAGGGTGGAAGTAGGCGGGGTTAGGGGGAAGTAGGCGGGGCTAGGGGGGAAGTAGGCAGGGCTTATGGGGAAGTAGACGGGGCTAGGGGGGAAGTAGGCAGGGCTTCGGGGGAAGTAGGCGGGGCTAGGGGGAAGTAGGCAGGGCTTAGGGGGAAGTAGGCGGGACTAGGGGGGAAGTAGGCAGGGCTAGGGGGGAAGTAGGCGGTGCTAGGGGGGAAGTAGGCGGGGCTAGGCGATAGTAGGCGGTGCTAGGTGGGAAGTAGGCGGGGCTAGGGGGAGTAGGCGGGCCTAGAAGTGGGAAGCTGAGTGCCCCCCTCTCTCCCCCCTTGCTCCTCCCCCTTTCCCACCTGATGATGATCGCTTTTATTCTTGGTTCTTTCGGTAAAGTGACGTAGAAGGGAAACAATAAAATAATAAAAATATAAAATAGTGAGAATTTAATCGTTTTATATTTTTTTATCATTTTACTGTTTCCCTTCTACGTGGTGACTTTACCGAAAGAAGCAAAAATATACATCCCTGCAGTCACGAAATCTTCAAATCAAAATTTATGATCGCTTGTGTTGCGATCGAAACGTCGTGATTTGTTTAATTTAATTTCCACCGACGTGACTTTGCCGAGAGAACCTGGGAGACTACAGCAACAACAACAACAAACAACAACAACCCCCACACCACTGCAGCAACAACAACACAGAAGCTGAGACGCCTCTCGCCTCAGCAGCACGGCGTGGACACCCAGGGCGCACGCCTCCACGCGCACGCGCACAGCGGCCGCAGCAGCTGCTGACCCGCCGGGCCCCGGCACGAGAACGTGGAGAGTCGCCTGGCCCACGGGCCCAGCGCAGCAGACGCGCTTGGCCCGCATGGGGCCCATTGGTGAAGTGGAGTGGTGGCTGTCGATTCCGATTCCTCGTCGCGATTTCACGCGGTTGCGGCGGAATCGATTCCGATTTTGGTTTTGGAGGCCCCGTCCCCGAGCGCGCGCGCGCGCTCTCTGCGGAGTTGAATCGCGAGCGAAACTAGGATTTTAAATTTGTGTCGATTCGATTCTACGGGGGGCGGGGCGTAGGGGGGTTGCCGCCCATTGTTTGTTTGGAGGTGACGTCACACGCGGAGCATTCCAAATGCCGTGACGTCTCACGCGGCCCCCCAGTGACGTCATGTTATTGCGTACACGCTTGTTGACACCGATGACGTCGCGTACGATGAGCACGCAGGGGGGCGGTGCGGTGGTGGACGTCATGTGACTTACGTTGTGACGTTGCGTGGCTTGAACTTGATGACGGTGATGATGATGGTGATGATGGTGATGATGGTGGAGATGATGGTAATGATGATGCTGGTGGAGATGATGGTAATGATGAAGGTGGTGATGGTGGTGATGGTGGTGGAGATGATGGTGGTGATGGTGGTGATGGTGGTGGTGATGGTGGTGATGGTGATGGAGATGGTGGAAATGATGGGGGTGATGGTGGTGATGATGGAGATGATGGTGGTGATGGTGGTGATGGTGGTGGTGGTGGTGATGGTGGTGGTGGTGATGGTGGTGATGGTGATGGTGGTGATGGTGGTGGTGATAATGGTGATGGTCGTGGTGGTGATGGTGGTGGTGATGGTGGTGTTGGTGATGGTGGAGATGATGGGGGTGATGGTGGAGATGATGGAGATGATGGTGGTGGTGGTGATGGTGGTGGTGATGGTGGTGATAGTGGTGGAGATGATGGTGGTGATAGTGGTGATGGTGGTGGAGATGATGGGGGTGATGGTGGTGGTGATGGTGGTGGAGATGGTGGAGATGATGGGGGTGATGGTGGAGATGATGGAGATGATGGTGGTGATGGTGGTGATGGTGGTGGTGATGGTGGTGATGGTAGTGGTGATGGTGGTGATGGTGGTGGTGATGGTGGAGATGGTGGAGATGGTGGTGGTGATGGAGATGGTGGTGATGGTGGTGGTGATGGTGGTGGAGATGATGGTGGTGATAGTGGTGATGGTGGTGGTGGTGGTGATGGTGGTGATGGTGGTGGAGATGGTGGAGATGATGGGGGGGTGATGGTGGAGACGGTGGTGGTGATGGAGGAGACGGTGGTGGTGATGGGGGTGATGGTGGAGATGGTGGAGATGGTGGTGGTGATGGTGGTGGTGGTGGTGGTGATGGTGGTGATGGTGGTGGTGATGGTGGAGATGGTGGTGATGGTGGTGATGGTGATGGTGGAGATGATAGGGGTGATGGTGGAGATGATGGAGATGATGGTGGTGATGGTGGTGGTGGTGGTGATGGTGGTGGTGATGGTGGTGGAGATGATGGTGGTGATAGTGGTGATGGTGGTGGTGGAGATGATGGGGGTGATGGTGGTGGTGATGGTGGTGGAGATGGTGGAGATGATGGGGGTGATGGTGGAGATGATGGAGATGATGGTGGTGATGGTGGTGGTGATGGTGGTGATGGTGGTGGTGATGGTGGTGATGGTGGTGGTGATGGTGGTAATGGTGGTGGTGATGGTGGAGATGGTGGAGATGGTGGTGGTGATGGTGGTGATGGTGGTGGTGATGGTGGTGGAGATGATGGTGGTGATAGTGGTGATGGTGGTGGTGGTGATGGTGGTGATGGTGGTGGAGATGGTGGAGATGATGGGGGGTGATGGTGGAGACGGTGGTGGTGATGGTGGAGACGGTGGTGGTGATGGTGGAGACGGTGGTGGTGATGGTGGAGACGGTGGTGGTGATGGGGGTGATGGTGGATATGGTGGAGATGGTGGTGGTGGTGGTGATGGTGGTGGTGGTGATGGTGGAGATGGTGGTGATGGTGGTGATGGTGATGGTGGAGATGATCGGGGTTATGGTGGAGATGATGGAGATGATGGTGGTGATGGTGGTGGTGGTGGTGGTGATGGTGGTGGTGATGGTGGTGGAGATGATGGTGGTGACGGTGGAGATGGTGGTGGTGGTAATGGTGGTGATGATGGAGATGGTGGTGGTGATGGTGGAGATGGTGGTGATGGTGGAGATGATGGTGGTGATGGTGGTGGTGATAGTGATGAAGGTGGTGGTGATGGAGATGGTGGAGATGGTGGAGATGATGGTGGTGATTGTGGTGGTGATGGTGGTGGTGATGGTGGTGGTGATGGTGGAGATGGTGGTGGTGGTTGATGGTGGAGATGGTGATGGTGATGGTGGAGATGGTAGTGGTGATGGTGGAGATGATGGTGGTGATGGAGATGGTGGTGGTGATGGTGGAGATGGTGATGGTGGAGATGGTGGTGATGGTGGAGATGATGGTAGTGATGGTGGAGATGGTGGTGATGGTGGTGATGTTGGAGATGGTGGTGATGGTGGAGATGATGGTGGTGATGGTGGAGATGGTGGTGGAGATGTTGAAGTTGATGGCGGTGGTGATGGTGATGATGATGGTGATGATGGTGATGATGGTGGTGGTGATGGTGGTGGTGATGGTGGTGATGATGATAGTGGTGGTGGTGGTGGTGGTAATGATGATGGTGATGATGATGGTGGTGGTGATGATGGTGGTGATTATGATGGTCAAAATGATGGTGATTGTGATGGTGGTGGTTATGATGGTGACGATGGTGGTGGTGGTGATGATGGTGTTGAATATGATGGTGATGATGGTGGTGATTGTGTGGGGGGAGCGGTGGGTGTAGTGGTTAGCGCTACGCTGCGTTATGAACCTGGCGACCCGAGTTCAATTCCCGCTCACGGCCAACATCAGCGGTGACGATTATTTGAACCGGTCCTGGGCGGCCTCCCCTAGGTCGACTCAGCCTCAAATGAGTACCTGGTGCGGTGTGTAAACATCGTCACTTGAGAGACAAAGGCGGCCAGGCATGGTGCTGGCCACTCACCCACCCCTCCGGCCTTAACAGGTGCTCGCAAATAGCACTTGCCCCAGCAGTCTGTTGAAGCTACACGGGGGATCTTTGTTTTGTGTGTGTGGTCTGTGTCAATTGTTTACTCCTGACCACCACACGGCCATGTGGTGGAATTCCCACACGCGTGACTACGTGACACCACTAGACACCACTAGACACACACACAGAGACACACACACACACAGAGACCACGGTGAGACACACACAGAGAGACACACACACAGAGACACACACACAGAGACTACGGTGAGACACACACAGAGAGACACAGACACACACAGACACCACTAGACACACACACACAGAGACACACACACAGAGACACACACACAGAGACCACTAGACACCACTAGACACACACACACACAGAGACACACACACAGAGACCACGGTGAGACACACACAGAGAGACACACACACAGAGACACACACAGAGACCACGGTGAGACACACACAGAGAGACACAGACACACAGACACCACTAGACACACACAGAGACACACACAGAGACACACACACAGAGACACACACAGAGACTACGGTGTGACACACACACAGAGACACAGACACACACAGACACCACTAGACACACACAGGGACACACACACACAGAGACACACACACAGAGACACACACACAGACACTACTAGACACCACTAGACACCACTAGACACCACTACACACAGACACACACACACACAGACACACACACAGAGACCACGGTGAGACACACACACAGAGACACAGACACACACACAGAGACCACGGTGAGACACACACAGAGACACACACACACACGGAGACACACACACAGAGACCACTAGACACCACTAGACACCACTAGACATACACAGACACACACACACAGAGACACACACACACAGAGAGACACACACACAGACAAACACACAGACACCACTAGACACCACTAGACACACACAGACACACACACACAGAGACACACACACAGACACCACTAGACACCACTAGACACACACAGACACACACACACACAGAGACACACACACAGACACACACACAGACACACACACAGACACACACACACAGAGACACACACACACACACAGACACAGAGACACACACACAGACACAGACACACACACACAGACACCACTAGACACCACTAGACGCAAAAGGGGGGGGGAGAGGGGGGGGGGCGATGTGGCGTCGAGGCAACTGCGGGCCCTTGAAAAGGAGACGTCACGGAACGTCGTCACGGTTTTGTTTTCCGTTCAGATCGAGAGACGCGCCGACGTCCGCTGATCACCGCCGCAAACTCCGCAGACTCCGCCGCAGCCGCTGGTGATGCCGACGACGACGATGACGACGACGATGATGGTGATGGTGGTGGCGGTGGTGGTGGTGGCTGTGGTTGTGGGCCTCGGTGATTCGCCGATGCCAGCCGATACGGAGGGAATCCCCGGTCCAGAGGGAATCCCCGACCTCGAGAGGATCCCCGGTCCAGGGGGAATCCCCGGTCCAGAGGGAATCCCCGGTCCAGGGGGAATCCCCGGTCCAGGGGGAATCCCCGACCTCGAGGGAATCCCCGGTCCAGGGGGAATCCCCGGTCCAGGGGGAATCCCCGACCTCGAGAGGTTCCCCGACCTCGAGAGGATCCCCGGTCCAGAGGGAATCCCCGGTCCGGAGGGAATCCCCGGTCCAGGGGGAATCCCCGACCTCGAGAGGATCCCCTCCCTCGAGGGAATCCCCGACCTCGAGAGGATCCTCGATTCCGGGGGCGTCCTGGCGACTCGCCTCTACGCCGAGCTGCGTGGGGGGAACGTCATCGCGTCTCCCCGCGCCGTGCGGGGAATCCTCCACGTGGCCAGACTCGCAGCCTCCACTGATGCACGGCGGCAGATAGACGCGGCCATGGGAGGTGGGTGGGTGGGTGAGTGGGTGGGTGAGTGGGTGGGTGAGTGGGTGGATTGGTGAGTGGGTGGGTGAGTGGGTGGGTCGGTGGGTGAGTGGGTGGGTGGGTGAGTGGGTGAGTGGGTGGGTGGGTGGGTGAGTGAGTGGTTGGGGGGGTGGGTGAGTGAGTGGGTGGGTGGGTGGGTGAGTGGGTGGGTGGGTGAGTGAGTGGATTAGTGAGTGGGTGGGTGGGTGGGTGAGTAGGTGGGTGAGTGGGTGGGTGGGTGAGTGAGTGGATTGGTGAGTGGGTGGGTGGGTGAGTAGGTGGGTGGGTGAGTGGGTGGGTGAGTGGATTGGTGGGTGGGTGAGTAGGTGGGTGGGAGAGTGGATGGATGGGTGGGTAAGAGAACGAGTGGGTGGGTGGGTGGGTGAGCGGGTGAGTGGGTGGGTGGGTGGGTAAGAGAGCGAGTGGGTGGGTGGGTGAGTGGGTGGGTGAGTAGGTGGGTGGGTGAGTGGATTGGTGAGTGGGTGAGTGGGTGGGTGAGTGGGTGAGTGAGTGGATGGGTGGGTGGGTGAGTGGGTGGGTGAGTGAGTGGGTGAATGTGGTGGTGAGTGAGTGAGTGAATGGGTGGGTGGGTGAGTGGGTGGGTGGGTGAGTGTGGTGGTGAGTGAGTGAGTGCGTGAGTGAGTGATTGAGTGAGTGAGTGGGTGAGTGAGTGAACACCTCCAAACGCCTCTCTCTGTGTCCACCGCTCCTCTGGCGCGCTTCACCTGCACCACCACCTCCACCACCACCTCCACCACCACCACCTCCACATCCGCCACCACCTCCACCACCACCACGTCCACCACCACCTCCACCACCACCACCACCTCAACCTCCACCACCACCACCTCCATTACCACCTCAACCACCACCTCCACCACCACCTCTACCTCCTCAACCTCCACCACCACCACCACCACCACCACCTCCACCACCACCTCCACCACCTCCACCACCACCACGTCCACCACCAGGAGCTGAGCTCCGTGCGACCCCACGTGGTGCCCTGCCGGGCCTCACGTGGGCCACGGAGGTGTTCGTCCAGGGCGGCTTCACGCTGCGCGAGGCCTTCACGGCGGAGGCCTCGCGGAGATTCGGCTGCTTGCTGCCCCGCGTCGACTTCGTGGAGAATCCCGGCCTCGCGGCCTCCACCATCAACACGTGGGCCTCCACACTCACCCAGGGTGAGTCCACCCCTCCACACTCACCCAGGGTGAGTCCACCCCTCCACACTCACCCAGGGTGAGTCCACCCCTCCACACTCACCCAGGGTGAGTCCACCCCTCCACACTCACCCAGGGTGAGTCCACCGCTCCACACTCAACACGTGGGCCTCCACACTCACCCAGGGTGAGTCCACCCCTCCACATTCACCCAGGGTGAGTCCACCTCTCCACACTCACCCAGGGTGAGTCCACCCCTCAACACTCACCCAGGGTGAGTCCACCCCTCCACCATCAACACGTGGGCCTCCACACTCACCCAGGGTGAGTCCACCCCTCCACACTCACCCCCACGTGGGCCTCCACACTCACCCAGGGTGAGTCCACCCCTCCACACTCACCCCCACGTGGGCCTCCACAATCACCCAGGGTGAGTCCACCCCTCCACCATCAACACGTGGGCCTCCACACTCACCCAGGGTGAGTCCACCCCTCCACACTCACTCCCACGTGGGCCTCCACACTCACCCAGGGTGAGTCCACCCCTCCACACTCACCCAGGGTGAGTCCACCTCTCCACACTCACCCAGGGTGAGTCCACCCCTCCACACTCACCCAGGGTGAGTCCACCCCTCCACACTCACCCAGGGTGAGTCCACCCCTCCACACTCACCCAGGGTGAGTCCACCCCTCCACACTCACCCCCACGTGGGCCTCCACACTCACCCAGGGTGAGTCCACCCCTCCACACTCACCCCCACGTGGGCCTCCACACTCACCCAGGGTGAGTCCACCCCTCCACACTCACCCAGGGTGAGTCCACCCCTCCACACTCACCCAGGGTGAGTCCACCCCTCCACACTCACCCAGGGTGAGTCCACCCCTCCACACTCACCCAGGGTGAGTCCACCCCTCCACACTCACCCCCACGTGGGCCTCCACACTCACCCAGGGTGAGTCCACCCCTCCACACTCACCCCCACGTGGGCCTCCACACTCACCCAGGGTGAGTCCACCCCTCCACACTCACCCAGGGTGAGTCCACCCCTCCACACTCACCCAGGGTGAGTCCACTCCCACGTGGCCGTGTGGAGCTGGTCGTGGCTGGGCCTGTCGGAGACACTGAGAATCTGGGTCCAAGCCCTGGGTCTCTCAATGGCGGGGGGGGGGGGGGTTCATGATGACCGTGCTGATGATGATGATGCCCAGGCTGATGATGATGACGATGCCCATGCTGATGATGATGATACCCATGCTGCTGCTGATGACGATGCCCATGCTGCTGATGATGATACCCATGCTGCTGCTGATGACGATGCCCATGCTGCTGATGATAATGCCCATGCTGCTGATGATGATACCCATGCTGCTGATGATGATACCCATGCTGCTGCTGATGACGATGCCCATGCTGCTGATGATGATACCCATGCTGCTGATGATGATGATACCCATGCTGCTGCTGATGACGATGCCCATGCTGCTGATGATGATACCCATGCTGCTGCTGATGATGATACCCATGCTGCTGATGATGATGCCCATGCTGCTGATGACGCTGCCCATGCTGCTGATGACGATGACCATGCTGCTGCTGATGATACCCATGCTGCTGATGATGATACCCATGCTGCTGATGATGATGCCCATGCTGCTGATGACGGTACCCATGCTGCTGCTGATGATACCCATGCTGCTGATGATGATGCCCATGCTGCTGATGATGATACCCATGCTGCTGATGATGATACCCATGCTGCTGATGATGATACCCATGCTGCTGCTGATGACGATGCCCATGCTGCTGATGATGATGCCCATGCTGCTGCTGATGATACCCATGCTGCTGATGACGATGCCCATGCTGCTGATGATGAAACCCATGCTGCTGATGATGATACCCATGCTGCTGATGATGATACCCATGCTGCTGCTGATGACGATGCCCATGCTGCTGATGATGATGCCCATGCTGCTGATGACGATGCGCATGCTGCTGATGATGATGCCCATGCTGCTGATGACGGTACCCATGCTGATGATGATTATGCCCATGCTGCTGATGATGATACCCATGCTGATGATGATGCCTATGTCGCTGATTACGATACCTATGTCACTGATGATGATGATGTCCATACTGATGATGTTGATAATGCTAATGTCCATGATGCTAATAATGATGATGCTGATAATGATGATGCCCATGCTGATGATGCCCGTGCTGATGATGCCCATGATGATGGATGATGCCCGTGCTGATGATGCTGCAGGGGGGGTGTCCCAGCTGGTGAGCGAGGGGGATCTCTCCCCGCTGTCCCGCGTCCTCATCGCGAGCTCCGTGGCCATGCACGCCCCCTGGGCCCACGCCTTCACCCTGGGGCCCCCCGCGACCTTCACGCCTCCCGCGGGCCCCCCCAAACTCACGGACATGATGTTCCAGGAGGGCGACATCGCCTACGGTGGGCGAGCTGCCACTGGGGGTGCCCCCTAGGCTAGACCCACACAGCAGTCAATCACCACCACCCCTACTACTGACAGACTGATGCACAGGGACAGCTGCCACTGGGGGTGCCCCTAGACTAGACCCACACAGCAGCAGCAATCATCACCACCCCTACTACTGACAGACTGATGAACAGGGACAGCTGCCACTGGGGGTGCCCCCTAGGCTAGACCCACACAGCAGTCAATCACCACCACCCCTACTACTGACAGGGACAGCTGCCGCTGGGGGTGCCCCTAGGCTAGACCCACACAGCAGTCAATCATCACCACCCCTACTACTGACAGACTGATGCACAGGAACAGCTGCCACTGGGGGTGCCCCTAGGCTAGACCCACACAGCAACAGCAATCATCACCACCCCTACTACTGACAGGGACAGCTGCCGCTGGGGGTGCCCCTAGGCTAGACCACACAGCAGTCAATCATCACCACCCCTACTACTGACAAACTGACGCACAGGGACAGCTGCCACTGGGGGTACCCCTAGGCTAGACCCACACAGCAGTCAACCATCACCACCCCTACTACTGACAGACTGACGCACAGGGACAGCTGCCACTGGGGGTGCCCCCTAGGCTAGACCCACACAGCAGTCAATCATCACCCCCCTACTGACAGACTGATGAACAGGGACAGCTGCCACTGGGGGTGCCCCTAGGCTACACCCAACACAGCAATAAACATTCTCGCTCTAACAATTCCTCCCCCTCCTCCACCCCCGCCGTGCCCGGCGTGTTTGGTTTGCCCCACCACCGACGCAGGAGAGTTCGAGATCCCCGGCGGTGGCGGGGCGTACCAAGTGGCGTCGCTCCCCTACGCGGGGGGGGACCTCGCCATGCTCGTCGCCCTGCCCGGCCCCCACGTGGAGCTGTCTGGGCTCGAGGGTCACCTGACCCCGGAGCTCATCGCCCATTGGATGGAGTCTCTGCGAGTGCAGGAGCTCCAGATCCACTTGCCAAAGTGAGTGGCTCCCGGTCGATGAGAGAATGTATTCGATAATAATAACTAATAATAATATATAATGATCATTTATAATAATATAACGAGCCAGGAATGTCTGTGTGTAACGCGCGTGACGTCACTCCACGTCGACCAGCCACCCTCATTAATAATCATGAGCCGGTGACGTCACTCCGCATGAAGGTGGTGGAGCGGAAAGGGGCCGTCCATAAATGACGTCACGCGATTTTTGACCCCCCCCCCCGCCCTCGTCACACGACGTCACAAAAAGACCCCCCCCTCAAATATGACGTCACAAAAAGTCAGACCCCCCCGCTCAAATATGACGTCACAAAGCTCTGCCACCCTCCCCCCCAAAATAAAACACGCTTCAAATCGCTTTAAACTATTGTTGTCATTGTAGTTGCTTATTTAATGTGGCGCTACACTCTGATGTTGTAGGTAGAAAACATCACAAAGTCTATTTATATCTTCTTTGGTTCTTTCGGTAAAGTCACGTAGAATGAGAATAAAATAATAAATTGATAAAATAAAATAACACAATAATATTCTCACGACGTTTCGGCCACAACACAAGCGGCCTTCATCAGGTGAAGGGGGCGAGACTGTCTGGTAGGACAGCGCTGGAGTGAGAGAGCCACGTTCAGATCACGGCTTTTAAGCTGTGTAAGAGGAACAAAGAGCCTTGACAAAGGAATTAGCATAAAATTTAGCATTGAAATGGCTGAATGATTAGCTTGTGACTGGTCACAGAAATAGCTATGTTAAAAGTTAAAGCATACACATCCGCAGAGGCACCCATTGTTAAAAGGAATTAGCATAGAATTTAGCATTGAAATAGCTAAGTTAAGGCATACACATCCGCAGAGGCACCCCTTGACAAAGGAATTAGCATAGAATTTAGCATTGAAATAGCTAAGTTAAAGTATACACATCCGCAGAGGCACCCCTTGACAATGGGATTAGCATAGAATTTAGCATTGAAATGGCTGAGTGATTCGCTTGTAACTGCTACAGAAATAGTTACGTTGAAGTCAGAGCATACACATTCACCGAGGCACTTAGTACAAATCAAACAGGAGAATTTAGCATTGAAATAACTAAGCGAATTTAGCATTGAAATAACTGGGTGATTTGCTAGTGACTGGTCACAGAAATGACTACACATCTGAGCTATTCACAGTACTATATAGTGAACCAATAAAAACTAAAATATAAATTACCTTCATGTTATCAATAAACTCTATATTCTCCAATCAGCTAAGCTGCAACCGCAGGAAAACAAAAAAAACTAAAACAGGAAGAAAAAAACATCTTAAAGTGACTGCGTGTGACTTTGAGCCACCAAACTCTGTGTGCCAAAAATCCCAGTGGGATGCAAGCCAAACAACCACAACAACAACCACAACAACCACAACAACCACCCTACAAGACAACTTTAGATTAAGGCCATCAGTCGAACTCCGTGCTACAGCAAACACAAACTATGGCCAAACCAAAATAAAAAAAACGTTTCGAAACCGCCAAAATAGACCCATAAAAGCAATGTAACAACAGTGATCATAGGGACTGTGAACCGAATATTTTTTTTAACAATAAACGACACAAACAACATGCACCACCAAACAGCAGGAGCATCAGTAGCAGGGTAAACATTTCACAATGCACCTTTAAATAATCAGCGCACTAAATCAGAAACAAGGGGTAAAAAAAAACATGACGTCATACTCTGGGTTGTTTCGGTAAAGTCCACGTGGGATTTAAATCAAATAAAATCATATTTTGATGAGATGGTTTGTATGGGATCGAGTTCACCGCAATATTTGAACCGCATGCGGCGATTGGGGTGGACATGCAAACGAATATTACTGAGGGGGGAGGAGCTCCAGATTGAGTGACGTCACCCGCTCATGAATATGAATTAGGGGGCTGGTCTATGTGGAGTGACGTCACGCGCGTTACACACAGACATTCCTGGGTGATGATCGGGGGGTTGGTGGGGGGGGAGATGGTGGGGAGGTGGTCAGAAGGTGGGTGGGGGGTTGGTGGGGGGAGGTTATATTATACAGCGATGTCTGTGCATCGTCACCACAATCACCGCATTGACGCCGTTAATGCGGTGATTGTGGTGATTGTGGTGACGATGTCCGGCATCGTCACCACAATCACCGCATTGACGCCGTTAATGCGGTGATTGTGGTGATTGTGGTGACGATGTCCGGCATCGTCACCACAATCACCGCATTGACGGCGTTAATGCGGTGATTGTGGTGATTGTGGTGACGATGTCCGGCATCGTCACCACAATCACCGCATTGACGGCGTTAATGCGGTGATTGTGGTGATTGTGGTGACGATGTCCGGCATCGTCACCACAATCACCGCATTGACGGCGTTAATGCGGTGTCACGAGAGATGTTGACTACCTCGCCTGGTACACAGGAGGTCGTGGGTTCGATCCCGAGCTGTGAACTACCTGGAATGGCATCCCTCCTGCAGTCCTGTACACCAGGAGAGGTCGTCAACATCTCATAGCGCATAAATACTGCAACGTCTCTGTGTGGGTCGCTAATCACCCCCCCACAACCACCAACCCCCACCACCAACCCCCCCACCACCAACCCCCACCACCAACCCCCCCACCACCTCCCCCCCACCACCTCCCCCCCACCAACCCCCCCCACCAACCCCCCCCCCACCAACCTCCCCCCCACCTCCCCCCCCACCAATCCCCCCCACCACCTCCCCCCTAACCAACCCCCCCCACCAATCCCCCCACCACCTCCCCCCACCACCCCCCCCACCACCTCCCCCCACCAACCCCACCCACCTCCCCCCCCACCACCTCCCCCCTACAAACCCCACCCACCACCACCCCCCCCACCACCTCCCCCCTACAAACCCCACCCACCACCACCTCCTCCCCCACCACCACCCCCCCAGGTTCCGTGTGTGGCACCGCGTGGCTCTGCGTGAGCCGCTGCGCGCCGCGGGCGTCTCAGACGTCTTCAACGAGGGCGGCCTCACGGGCATGGCCGGTGAGCAACTGGCGAGTTGTTTGCGTGCAACTGGTTGCGGGCAACTGGCGAGTTGCGGGCAACAACTGTTTGCGTGCAACTGTTTGCGTGCAACTGTTTGCGTGCAACTGTTTGCGTGCAACTGTTTGCGTGCAACAACTATTTGAGTGCAACTGTTTCAGATAAACTCTTTGAGTGCAACTGTTTGCGGGCAACTGTTTGCGTGCAACTGATTGGGGGCAAATGTTTTGCGAGCAACAGTTTCAGATCAACTGTTTGCGGGCAACTGTTTTCTGGAAACTGTTTTCAACTGACCAAGCGGTCGGACTGGTTTAGACTTCAGATTCTTGAGTGAGGATGCGTGAGTGAGTGAGCGTGTGGATGAGCGTGGGTGAGTGTGTGGGTGAGTGTGTGGGTGGGTGAGTGTGTGGGTGTGTGAGTGTGTGGGTGTGTGAGTGTGTGGGTGGGTGAGTGAGTGTGTGGGTGGGTGAGTGTGTGGGTGTGTGAGTGTGTGGGTGGGTGAGTGTGTGGGTGTGTGAGTGTGTGGGTGTGTGAGTGTGTGGGTGTGTGAGTGTGTGGGTGGGTGGGTGGGTGAGTGTGTGAGTGTGTGGGTGTGTGAGTGTGTGTGTGAGTGAGTGTGTGGGTGTGTGAGCGTGTGGATGAGCGTGGGTGAGTGTGTGGGTGGGTGAGTGTGTGGGTGGGTGAGTGTGTGGGTGGGTGAGTGTGTGGATGTGTGAGTGTGTGGGTGTGTGAGTGTGTGGGTGGGTGGGTGGGTGAGTGTGTGGGTGTGTGAGTGTGTGGGCGGGTGAGTGTGTGGGTGGGTGAGTGTGTGAGTGAGCGTGTGGATGAGCGTGGGTGAGTGTGTGGGTGTGTGAGCGTGTGGATGAGCGTGGGTGAGTGTGTGGGTGGGTGAGTGTGTGGGTGGGTGAGTGTGTGGGTGGGTGAGTGTGTGGGTGGGTGAGTGAGTGGGTGAGTGTGTGAGTGAGTGTGTGGGTGTGTGAGTGTGTGGGTGTGTGAGTGTGTGGGTGGGTGAGTGGGTGTGTGAGTGTGTGGGTGTGTGAGTGTGTGGGTGGGTGAGTGGGTCTGTGAGTGTATGGATGAGCGTGGGTGAGTATGTGGGTGAGTGTGTGGGTGTGTGGGTGGGTGAGTGTGTGGGTGAGTGAGAGTGTGGGTGGGTGAGTGTGTGGGTGAGTGTGTGGGTGTGTGGGTGGGTGAGTGTGAGTGACTGTGTGAGTGTATGTGTGTGTGTGAGTGAGTGTGTGTGAATGACTGTGTGAGTGTGTGTGAGTGTGTGTGAGTGTGTGTGTAACTGTGTGTATGTGTGTGTGACTGTGTGTGAGTGACTGTGTGAGTGTGTGTGAGTGAGTGTGGGTTTGAGTGTGTGTATGTGTGAGTGTGTGTGTGACTGTGTGTGTGTGACTGTGTGTGTGTGTGACTGTGTGTGTGTGTCTCCCCGTCTCTCCAGACGCGCGTGACCTCAAGTTCACCGACGCCATCCACGTGGCAGCAATCGACGTCACAGAGCAAGGGACCCACGCCTCTGCTGCCAGCGGTACCACCACCATCATCATCAGCATCAGCACGAGCACCATCATCACCACCACCATCAGCAGCATCATCAGCAGCATCATCAGCATCACCACCACCATCACCATCAGCAGCATCACCACCACCATCAGCAGCATCACCACCACCATCATCATCAGCAGCAGCAGCATCAGCATCATCATCAGCAGCATCAGCACCAGCAGCATCATCAGCAGCAGCAGCATCATCAGCATCACCGCCACCATCATCAGCATCATCAGCAGCAGCATCAGCAGCATCATCAGCACCAGCAGCATCAACATCACCATCAGCAGCATCATCAGCATCAGCAGCATCAGCAGCATCATCAGCAGCATCATCATCAGCATCATCAGCAGCATCATCATCAGCATCACCATCAGCACTATCACGACCACCTCCTCCACTGTGGTTGTCGGCTCAGTATCTCGGACCCGGCCATTACTACACAGCCCCCTGCTGTTACTGTTGTGTGATGTGTGCTGCTACTGTGTGCTGTGTACTGCTACTGCTGTGTGCTGCTGTGTACTGCTGCTACTACTACTACTGCTGTGTACTGCTACTGCTGTGTACTGCTGCTACTACTACTACTGCTGTGTACTGCTACTGCTGTGTACTGCTGCTACTACTACTACTGCTGTGTACTACTACTACTGCTGTGTACTGCTACTGCTGTGTACTACTGCTGTGTACTGCTACTGCTGTGTACTGCTACTGCTACTACTACTGCTGTGTACTGCTACTGCTGTGTACTACTGCTGTGTACTGCTACTGCTGTGTACTACTGCTGTGTACTGCTACTGCTGTGTACTGCTACTGCTGTGTACTGCTGCTACTACTACTACTGCTGTGTACTACTACTACTGCTGTGTACTGCTACTGCTGTGTACTACTGCTGTGTACTGCTACTGCTGTGTACTGCTGCTACTACTACTACTGCTGTGTACTACTACTACTGCTGTGTACTACTACTACTGCTGTGTACTGCTACTGCTGTGTACTACTGCTGTGTACTACTACTGCTGTGTACTACTGCTGTGTACTGCTACTGCTGTGTACTGCTACTGCTGTGTACTGCTACTGCTGTGTACTGCTACTGCTGTGTACTGCTGCTACTACTACTACTGCTGTGTACTACTACTACTGCTGTGTACTGCTACTGCTGTGTACTACTGCTGTGTACTGCTACTGCTGTGTACTGCTACTGCTACTACTACTGCTGTGTACTGCTACTGCTGTGTACTGCTACTGCTACTACTACTGCTGTGTACTGCTACTGCTGTGTACTGCTACTGCTGTGTACTACTACTGCTGTGTACTACTGCTGTGTACTACTACTGCTGTGTACTACTACTGCTGTGTACTGCTACTGCTGTGTACTACTGCTGTGTACTGCTACTGCTGTGTACTACTACTGCTGTGTACTACTGCTGTGTACTGCTACTGCTGTGTACTGCTACTGCTGTGTACTACTGCTGTGTACTACTACTGCTGTGTACTGCTACTGCTGTGTACTACTGCTGTGTACTGCTACTGCTGTGTACTGCTACTGCTGTGTACTACTGCTGTGTACTGCTACTGCTGTGTACTGCTACTGCTGTGTACTGCTACTGCTGTGTACTGCTGCTACTGCTCCTGCTGCGTGCTTCAGGGTTGGTGGGCGCAGTGAAGATGAGCCTGGGGCCTCCTCCTCGCCGCCTCCTCGTCGACCGCCCCTTCCTCTTCCTCATCCTGGACACGCGCTCAGGTGCCTCACCTCTCTAAACCAGCTTAAAGGACGCTGCGAATCTTAACAACGTTCATTGAAGCTCTGTCGTCCCGACAGGTCTGTTCCTTTCACCTGAAGAAGGCCACTTGTGTTGTGGCCGAAACGTCGTGAGAATTTTATCGCGTTATTTTATTCTATTAATGTATTATTTTATTCTCATTCTACGTGGTGGTGACTTTACCGAAAGAACCAAAGAAGATGTTTCTCATAGTCTTAGTTCTTTCGGTAAAGTCACGTTGAAGGGAAACAACAAAATAATAAAATATATAAAACAATAAAAATTCTCACGACGTTTCGACCATAACACAAACTGAAGACGACCGTTTGTGTTATGGTCGAAACGTCGTGAGAATTTTAATTGTTTAATATATATTTTATTATTTTGTTGTTTCCCTTCAACGTGACTTTACCGAAAGAACTAAGAATATGAATTACTGCAGTCACGAAAGCTTTAAATCAAGATGTTTCTCGTTCTTGTTTTTAATTTGTTGCGGATGCACCCGAATCAAGAGCCGCATGGCTCACAGGGCCATGCCTAATACATGAAACTGAAAACTGAATCTGCTGGGGTCTAATTGTCCACGCTCAACTAACGTTGCCTCTAATCGGCCACGGTCTCTCACGTTGTGGGAAGGAAGCTTCGGGGTCCGCTTCCTAGAGTCGTGGAGTTCTGCCATTACTAGCGGGGTACCTTTAATAAAAGCGTGTTTTTTTAAAAAGTTTTATTTTAATATTACTTATTGTTGTTTACACCCAAAGATGTGGTCAGCCCACGTGGTGTAGAGACGCATGGGGGGAACGGAGCTTCTGAATTGGTCTGTGAACAGTTAAGGCACGGATGAGGGGTCAGAGACCCATAGAGATACATAGAGACCCATAGAGATAGACAGAGACCCATAGAGACCCATAGAGATACATAGAGACCCATAGAGATAGACAGATACCCATAGAGACCCATAGAGATAGACAGAGACCCATAGAGATACATAGAGATACATAGAGACCCATGGAGACCCATAGAGACCCATAGAGATACATATAGATACATAGAGACCCATAGAGACCCATAGAGATACATAGAGACCCATAGAGATACATAGAGACACATAGAGGCTACACGGGGGATCTTTGTCTGTCTACCTTCACAGGTGCTGCTGCTACTCGCTACTAACAGCACTTGCCCCTACAGTCTGTTAGAGGCTACACGGGGGATCTTTGTCTGTGTCTACCTTCATAGGTGCTGCTGCTACTCGCTACTAACAGCACTTGCCCCTACAGTCTGTTAGAGGCTACACGGGGGATCTTTGTGTCTACCTTCATAGGTGCTGCTGCTACTCGCTACTAACAGCACTTGCCCCTACAGT